ATGGAAAATCGTCGACAGGTTCACCTGAGACAGCACCAGCGTATGATAAACCAGGGGCGGTGGATCAACTTGGAATTGACTGGGCCGCAGCGAGCAGCGAGACGATGCTGAACTGTCCGACTTTGGGAACCATTTGGATGCTCGCGGGATTGGCTTGTTGGTTGTTGAGCGGAAGCGGGGCTAGGTTCGGTACATGTCGACGGAGCTGGACTTCCGTGAGTACAGGAGGCGAACGATGATTACGGAGACGACCGAGCTGATTGTTGATCGTAGTCTTCCGACGGATAATAATGAATTACACTCGCTTAGGACATCCGCGATTGCAGGCTTGGTGGTTTCCCCCGCAGTTGACGCACGTTGGCTCGATGTCATCAACTTGCTTACAGGACGCAGTTGAGTGAGTTCCAGCACACTTGCCGCAGTTTGTCTTCATATGGCAGTTTTTGGTGCCATGGCCATAGGAGAGACAGTTCATACACTGCGTAACATCACGATGTTTTGGTTTGTAATGCTCCCAACTGATCATGACCTGAAACAGGTCCCGGATTTTGGATCTCAGAGCCGCAAGACTGGTGGATCCCTCGGTGAAGTGCACCAGGAACAACTGATCACGGAAGCTGGTGTTTTGGTTGGGACGCTGGTTCATCTGGTACACGGCCTCAGGTTTGAACCCAAGCCACTCCAGCTCGGACTTCACCGCAGCAGCCTCGAACGACGGCAATCCACGCAAAACCACCTTCAGTGGCTTGCTCGATGGCAGATCATGCGTGAAGAAGTCCACGTTGTTGTCCTTTAGGAAACATACTATTTGATTGTACTCCTCCAAGCTGGAGCACATAATTTTGGTACTGATGCTGCAAAGCTTGAAGCGAGGCAGCAGCTTGTGAATCCGCTCTCGTCTTGCAATGGGAACGGCGTCACCATCGCCATTTTCTTCCGGGAGTACTGCATACTGGTTGGCTTGCAGTACTCCTTTTCCGGCGTCATCCTGCGACGCGCTGGGCTTGATTAGCACCTGCTGATCCCGCTGCTGACTCATTGGCACGTTTACGCACCATTTGTTTCGTGTTTGCAAGTTCAATTAAACTTGCCAGAACGCGAGAAGGTGGCGACACTTCCACGGCGCAACGCGACAGCACAAAACGAAATAAAATCGAATCGAGAACTCGAGTGAAAATACGGACTGAACAGCTCGACAGTCGAGCTAAGAATGATGTGGTGTCTGCGACAGATTGGAAGGCCACATAATATAAGTGTCCATCCAGCTAAAGCTCCTCCCCTTTTTAGTTTTTCTCGTTAAACTCCTTCTCCCAACAAGTTTGAAAATCGTAGCCTTGAGCTGAAAGACGCTTAACACTTTTTTCGGCGAATTTACGATCCTGTTTCACGTCATGGTTCTCCTTTAGGTCTGTTCAGATAAATTAGTACTTTTATTTATTTTTTCTACAGCGCTAAATCAAACGAGTAGAAATAAGAGGGGATGTCGGTTACGCGCTCGAATAATTTAATATTCGATAAATATTTGATTGAATCAAATCTGGACAAATCTTTACGATCAATCGTTAATCAAATAATTGGATTTTTAGGCATTCCTAGAAAATAGTGTAATTTCATGTTTTTTGGTGGTCCTTCGAAAATGTCGAACAGCAGAATTGCAACCAGTAAGTGAAACCCAAGAACCAAAAGCGGTGCGATGCTAGTTTTCATTGCTATGACGACAACTGAATCAAGGGGCTTAGAAGCAGAGGGGTGAAAGTCAATCGTCTTCATCGATTTCTATTTTGATGACCATGGCTTCACTAACCTATTTCGCACTATTTCTGCTATGCTCTTCTATCATTCAGAATAACAAACGTATCAATGAATGTGTTTGCCGTCGAGTTATTAACGAAACAGAAAGTTGATGAAGAGAATCGATCAAAATCACTTGCACTTCTGCTTCCAAGTTTGGTTACAAGATTACAGCTCTGGAGAACCTTTTTGGGAGGTCGTTGGGGGCGTGTAGCTCTGAATATGGCGATGAGTGTGCAATCATCATCGAAGTCGATTGCTGAATTTATGTATGCGCCCAAATTAGGTGCATTAAGGCCGACATAGCATTCATTTCCCCTTATTTAAATGGTGCTTCAACATTGTAAATCCATCCATAAATGGCCAAGTTATTAGCGTTTAAAATTTTACATGTAGTCCTCCCAAGTAGCAATTTAACAGTCTTTTGGCTTTCACTCTGATTTATTGTGGTTTTATAACGGCAATAAACAATCTGTTTAGTTAAACACAGCATTTAAAAGTGCAAAACATTCTTGATTAGTAGTTCTGCTTTATGCTGTTTTAGAAATCTTTTAAAGCCTGAATTTAATGCAGCACTCTATCCCTTTATAAAACTGTTCAGTAAATCTATTGGTATTTGATTTATTGATGTCACGACAAAATACTCCATAAAGGTGTTTTATCATTATAAAAGCAATTATGAAACCGTTCGGTTTCAAACGGGATCAAAAAGCAAATATTGATGCGTTTTGATGTCAATGAAGTGTATCACAAAACTTCCCACTGCTTACAAATGAAAATAAAAAAAATTGATCCGCCTAGAGACAGAGAAAAACAAAATTGAGTGGGGCTATCAAACGCAGTGTCAAAAGGAAATGCCAAAGGATAAATAAGTAAGTAACGAGTAATAACATGAGACAAATTTACTCATCGCTGAGTTCCTGCACTTTTGGCGATTATGAGTGAACTGAACTCAAATTAGGGTCGTTCTCATTCGCCGTGCAGAACTTTCTGGGAGGGCAGCTCCGACAACATCGGTCAACAAGGACAGAGCAGCCAACTGAGAGGAGCGAAGTGAATGCGGTTTACGAAGCACTGGCAGCCGTCAAATTATACATATATATGCATATTGTCAATGACAGCCTTCTCCAGAAATAACCTTGCGATGATGATCCGAATAGCATCAGTACCAAACTGGGACTGCGGAAAACTGCTGACAGGAAACTTCAGAAGCTCCCCGTCAGCAGGAAATTGGCTGCCTTCCGAACCATGACAACGATTTCTTTCGGCGAAAGGGTTCTTCTTCTTCTTCTTCTTCTTCTTCTTCGCATTTGAAGCTTATTGCATATAGCATATTAGCTTATTGCGTGCTAACAACTTAGTGTTCTAGATGCACTTCCACAGTTATCAAATTGAGAGCTTTCGATGCCTGTACCATTTTTGCATTGATATGATTGTGTGGCAAGTCCAATCATACTTCTATGCCCAGGGAAGTCGAGAAATTTCCCAACCCGAAAAATTCCTAGACCGGACCGGGAAATGAACCCAGCCACCTCCAGCATGGTCTTGCTTTGTAGCTGCGCCTTTACCGACTGAGCTAAGGGAGGCCCCCGAAAGGGTGGCTAATTCTGATTGAAAAAAAATCTAAATCCGAAACATTTCCAGAACAACATGTGAAAAGGGCATACAAGCTTTTTGTAAACAAACCTTCTTATGCCCTTTTCTCGCCACCCATATGACACCAACGCAAACCTTTAACATCACCGGGTAGGGGACACTTTCCCCTTCCCGATGATATTGGTGGTTTGCGTGGGCGACCCTCGGTTGGTGAGAAAAGGGCCTACAAAGGTTTGTTTACAAAAAGCTTGTATGCCCTTTTCACATGTTGTTCTGGATTTGAAGGTAAAACATAATGAAGTCTTTCAATTTATGTTTGAGGTTTTAGATTCAGCACATACATATAATTATACGACTAAAGTGATAATTATCATTAATCCAACGAAGGTACGCACTCAATCTTGTTAATAAAATCTCATCTCTGCTATCCAAACTTGAGCAGGATCCACCATGGTTCGTCAAAACTGAACGTACTAAAAAGTGAGCTGGGAAGTGACGGTTAGATGTTGTCCAAATTTTGGTAGTTTTTAAATAGCGTGCATCATTTCTCTACTTATTGTAGCGACTGAAATATGCTTCGCTCCAAAAAGAGATTCCTAACGCAAAACCCCTGAAACGGTTACCACATTATCACTAATCACATGTTTATCCACGAGCTCCTCCCTTTCAGATTTGAAATCGATTCAATCCGGTGTCCCAGTGGACGAAAAATAATCACAAAATTACTGACTTGCTCTTGCATCATCCCATTGGGTTCATTTTTTCGCCACTGGAGCACGTGTCCCGTTGAAAAGTCCATTCAATTAGAGATTCCACTCCGTCCCCCTCTGCATCGAACAGACATTCGAACATAATCATCGCAAAGCAAGAGGGTGGGAACGAGCAGTGGCTCTTTGGTCACCCTTGGTTACCTGACCTGGACATGGTCGGTACGCGTCCATTTCCCACACCCACGGCATGATGGTGTCGTGCGTTACGTTTCTACTCTTCAAACGATACTGTGTGTACGTTGAGAGACTTCTTTTCCAATCAATTTCCCATTTACAACTGGGGAAAGGTCCAAGCAATAAATTGGTCTGCAACAAGGCCTTCGGTGGCCACGTGCTGTTCCCATGGGTGACAACGAACCGTCATGCTGCTCTCTGCTACATAGGTCATACGTGAAATATCCGTACAACGGTCGGTGGTGGTCCTTGACGACAAGGACTGCCGAAGACGAGACCACCAACCAAGATTTAACCTATTTCCGATAAGAGAGAGAGAAGAGACGAAACGCACTTGAATCGAACCGTGCCATGTTCAACCTTGTTATAACAATGGTCATGTGCCTTTCGCTACTGTTTCTTCTTTCAGTTTCTTATTACATACAATAGAGCATTAGGCTCGCTGGTCCCATTATTGTCGGCTGTCTCAGCAGGAACCCCAACAGCACCAGAGTTTGCTTCTTTGATTGACCTTGTTTTCCTATATAGGTACTGCTTTCTATGAGGTCGCAACAGACCTTGACGTGTAAACAGGGGGTAAAATAAAGGATTAATCCCGTCCCGAGAAAAAGGATTAACAACGGAAACGTCTTAATTTAAATCTTTTTTTCTTTTATTGAAAACCCTCTTTCGATTTTCGTTCTCTCAATTGCCAGAAATAGTACTCTTGACCCAGTCGTCGTATTTGAACATGTTCGTGTAGATGCTGGGAACCCCTTCGGTGCCACATTGCGACGGTCCTCGACTGACGATGCCGTAGGCGAACCAGCGTACATACTGGTGGCTGTAGAACATCAACGGAGAACCACTGTCTCCCCGGCAGGTGTCCTGGGCTTTCCGGCCACCGGCGCAGATTTGGCTGTTTGTTATGCGAATCGTGTGCTCGGCGTAGATCGAGCGGCACTGCTCTCGGTCCACATGGGGTAGGCTGACTTTGAGCTTGATCTTGCTCGGCTCACTGATGGCGGTGTTGTCTGCAAGTGAGGAGAAAATTCGATGATTTATCGTAGAATGTAGAACTAATTCGGATAAACATTTTATAGAGCATTGCCACGCCAAATAGCAAATCGGTGGGACATGAACTATGCTAATATGTTGGTTTCTACCTAAGATGTCATTTTCCATTAAAAAATTGTAAATTTTTCCGGACTTATTTTTAATAAGGGTTGTAAGGATGTAAAACATAGGTATCTTACATGGGCACATTTTTTAAGGTATGTAATTAGTAATTTACTATTTTGTAGGAAGATGTCATTCGTGCGCATACCAAAACACGTTTATTTAATGATTGTGAGGACAGCCATTGTTGCATGACGTGCCGTATCACCTTAACACTTTTTTCGGCGAATTTATGATCCTGTTGATCTTCTCTATGCCTGTTCAGAAAAATTAGTACTTTTATTTATTTTCTCTACTGTGCTAAATCAAATGAAGATAAATAAGATGGGATGTCGGTTACACGCTCGAATAATTAATAATTCGATAAACATATAATCGAATAAATGGAAAAATCATTGGGATCAATCGTTAATCGAATAATTGGACTTTGAGGCATCCCTAAAAAATAGTGTAATTTCATATTTTTTGGTGGTCCTTCGAAAATACCTAACAGCAAAATTGCAACCATCAAGTGTACTAGTTTTCATTGCTATGACGACGACTGAATTAAGGGGCTTAGAAGCAGATCGATTTCCTCTTTTGATGACCATGGCTTCACTTACCTATTTCGCACTATTTCTGCTGTACTCTTCTAGCATCCAGAATAACAAACGTATCAATGAATGTGTTTGCCGTCGAGTTATTAACGAAACAGAAAGTCGATGAAGAGAATCGATCAAAGTCACTTGCACCCCTGCTTCCAAATTTGGTTACTAGATTACAACTCTGGAGAGCATTTTGTGTGATCGTTGTGACAACTTTTCGGAAAACCATTTGTGCAGAATTAATCTGCGAGTTGATAAGCTGATCCGACCCATCGTTCAAAATTTCTCACCCTATTATTTTTATTTTTCAGGTGTGTTGTCAAAATCAACAATGTTTTTACACACTGAGCGAAAATTCACAATTTATCGTTACGTTTTAACCCTAAACTATTGAAAAACAGGAGTCCACTTTCTTTAATGAACAGCCCTTACTATGAAGTTTTCTGAATGCAGCAACAACTCGTCAGCAATGCACCGCTTGGACGCCATGTTAGTTTTTGTTTGTGCCATCACCACTCAGAAATTTTCACACTATAAATTCACGTACAATCTAAGTGAAATTATCTTACATGAAATTCATCTAAGTTTCAAAGCGTATTACATTGCTTTTAATACGATTTGTAATAAATTTTATTAACGTCATGTACTTTACAGACAATTTTTAATATCTGAAGGTTACGTGTTTTTTCCAGTGAAATTTATATGACAATTTTTTTTAGTGTGGGCAATAATTAAACGGCATCTTAAGAAAGATAGGAGAGAAGCAAGCTCTGTTGATTGCTACAAGAAAATTTGGTCTGCAGCGCAACGAAAAGTTAAGAAGAAAGTTGTGCAGAATCTAATGGGCGATCTGACAGAGGTCAGATAGCCCACGAACGATCCGCCATTCCTCATCATAACTATCCAGGCGTTCGCGTGTGAAAGGTGTCGAAAAGTTAAAGTGCTTAAAATAGTCAAACAATTAGTAGTGAGTGGTAATATTGAATTCGAGTGTGACGATTTGCTGCACCACAGTTCAATTCAGGTAATTGGTTTACTGACAAACTGTTTTGGCAGACACTGCTATTTTGTCCGTTGACAAGATCAACCGACATACACGTGATCCGGCTTAGCTAGGTCGAAAAGTAAGGGAACTAGCCTTCCTCAAGTCAGACCGAAAACATTCGGATAGAAGGAATTTGTCTCTGGAACCCTCCCTAACCACCAAAGAGACGTTCCCCTCTCGTCACTCTAGTCACTCTGGCCTTGCCTGGGCCGGTAAGCCAATGAGAGAAGACTCAGCCAAGTTTGACCACGATCGCCACACCGAATCTGGCAAAACTCGTAGCGCAGTGAGTCCACCGTACAGCAGCGAGCGTTCGCCCAACGTCGTCGAAGCCGTCCATCTTCAGCATCAGCCATCCGCAGAACCGGTACGTTTTTTTCTAGAATAAACCACCCAATTTACACCCACACCCACAATAGTAGTACACATTTAGCAAAAATCATGTAAATCTGAGAGTGACATACACATTAGTCATAACAAGGCGCGAAATATAGCTCAATCAAACGTATTTGTCGTCGAGCACTGAACTTTTCAGTCTCGGAGCACTTAACACTCCGAATACGGTGGGTAAAAAACGCTACGCCGACTACGAAGCCTCCGAAAAGCGTGTAACGGCAAGCCATTTCTTGATATAACTCGGCATAACTTAAGGTGCCGCCACACGGCGCATGATATTTATGTTATAGTTCTCTATGACATAGCCGATTTAGATTTCTATATCATAGTTCTATGAGATTTGGGAATCCATTATCAAAAACTATGAGCTATAACGTAATAGTACCTATGTAGTAGAAAACTATGAAGTAGTGCTATAAAATAGAATTTTCGAGTGTACACACGATTGAATTTTTGTGTATTTTTGTCCGCTTAATGATCCGGGCGCATCATAAAAAAAAAAAGAATTGCAGAAAGTAAAAATATTTGGGATTAGAGCTAATTGGGGACAAACTCTTATTGTAGGGTAATTTGAAGAGATAACTTCCTGGCAGTGCTGAGATTTGTTATTGTCGTTGACAGACTTTCGTGCGATATTGACAAAATTGATCCTCAATTGATTGATAGACATGATCCTCAAAAACCCCTTCGTCAAAATCTCATTCATTTTTTTGTCAATGACAAAGATTCACCTGGTAACCAATAGTGAGGTGAAGTGACAGTGAAGTGATGGTGAAGTGATAATTTTTACCTCGGATGAGGTGAGTCTCCGTGCAAATCAAATGGAGAGTGACTTCACCCGAGCTGACAATTGTCACCTCACCGGTGAAAGCATGTCAGTCCACCTCACACGCCGTACAGAATAGGCCTACTAGGATCAGTTTCATGAATTGACCACTTTTACGGATGTTCCGGATCTTCCACAGGACCAGTCTTGTGACTTACCAGAAACTGACTCTTCCCAAAAGGTGGTCAACTATCTGCTTAACAATTTCATTAAAGACATCAGAAAGTTATCTCTACAAATTGACGAATTAATTCGAAGTTGTGACCGGAACATAGACCCTGGAGACCACGGAACATCCGTAAAAGTGGTAAATTCATGTACTGATCCTCAACATCCACGGTTTTTTTCGACGCCTCTCATAGAAGTCTTATCATAATGTGGAGTTATGACCGGAATTTGGTCACTGGAAATCACGAGGTGGTCCACTAAAATATCCGAAACATCCGTAAAAGTGGTCAATTTATGAAACTGATCTTAGAGCTCCGCGTTTTTTTCAAAACCACTCATAGACGCCTTATCAGAATTAATTCAAAATTGTGACCAGAATATAGACACTGGTGACCACGGGATGGACCACCGCAAAATTTAGAACATCCGTAAAAGTTGTCAATTCATGAAACTTATCCTAGAATTCTACGTTCGTTTCAAAGCCATTCATTGACATCTTATTAATATGAATTCGGAGTTGTGATCGGAAAATTGACTCTTGGGTTCATGAAATACAAAACCAGTCATTGGCATCTTATCAGAATCAATTTGGAGCTATGACAAGAAATTTTACCCTGGGGACCAATGCACAAAGGTCCCCAAGCCGTATTTAGGAAGACAAAAATATTTGCGCCCAAACCATCACTTTTAGGTTTATGGTGTCTTGTTGAAGATTTATTTGTATTTTTTGTCCAATCTTTTTATGTTACTGAAATTAGGGTGGTCCATAAAATTGGTGAATTGAAAATACAAACTTTTTTAATATTTGAGTTAGACCAATGCAGTGTTTTAAAAAGTTGTAGAACAATCAATTGCTTAAGACATCAAATTTCTATCTCTTATGGTTCATTACTTATGATTAATTTAAGCAAGCAGGTTAGGGTGCCCCTAGAAAATCGGCTTTCTTTAAATATAATTTTAGAGGTTCGTAGAAGCTTTGTTTTAAATATTTTTATGACGCATATTTTTGCTGAAGCAACTTAGTTGACATCTTCTTTATTTGAAAAAGTTATGGCAAGATTTTAGTGAAAATTTTGACTTTTTAAAATTATTCGCTCTCACTGTTTTCTCACCAAATGAATAAAAACACGATCTTTCAAAAGAAATCAAAAGTTTGAAAATCGGTTTGCTCCTTTTAGAGATATTGACAATTAATAAAATAAATCGAAGAATATCTGCATTAACTTTCTAATAAAAAAAAATAGCAACATGGTTGCGTCATCAATATGCGTCATCATAAGTTCTAAATGTGTCCAAAACAACGTTTTTACGAGAAATGAACGTATGAAAAGTTATTCAACTAAATCTGTTTTTTAGAGGACACCCTAACCAGATTGTTAAAAAAATTAACTCATGAACCATAAGAGATATAAATTTGGTGTATTTAACAAAAATCCTTTGAATTGATTGTTCTACAACTTTTTAGAACATTTCATTGGTCTATCTCAAATAATAACAAAAGTTTGTGTATCCAATTCACCAAGATCCACAAGATCGACGGAAAACCAATCAAGAAAAAAAAACTCCGTATTATTCGAAAACCCTTATAATTATGAATTCGGAGTTATTATCGGAAAATAAACCCTGGAGACTATGAATGTTTCTCATGCACATCATAGACGCTCCTCTGAAAGATAATAGACGTGTCTTCAGAATAAACTCGGAGTTGTGACTGGAAAATGGACCCCAGGGTCCATTGGATGGTCTTCCAGAATATACGGGACATCCGTTAAAGTGGATCGTTCAAGAAAACTGATCTCACCACTCTATGGCTTTTTAGAACTGCTCATAGACATT